CCACGTGGTGCCACATTAGGGTAAGGCGCGGTGCATGGGCCGCACCTTTCTGCAAAGGGTATTAGATCGGGAAATAAAGTTGCATGGGTGTCGGACACGGAAATAAAGATTGATAGGGTGATTTTTTGGGAAATTCGCTAACTTAAACCCTCTTAGTTTTTCTGCTCCCTTTTTATCCTTAAAAAAGGAACTAAAAATACGAGATGAGCAAACAAGTAGTTGAACATAAGGAAACCCTAGAGAAAGAAGAGTTGGCGTTTTCTAAATGAAGGAAAGAATTTAAAAATTGATTGAGTTGCTGCCATTTGTAAATTACCAAGAATCCAATATCAAAACAAATTAGCTTCACAAGTTTTGGACTAATTTTTTTGGATTTTTTTTTACTTTATATTTTTGGTTTTTAACAAAATGTTTATAGGTGGAACGTTCGGTGAATGGTTTGTGAATCTTCTGACAAGAAGTTCGTTTATTTATTAAACGAACAAATGTGAATAAGATTTTTTGTGTTATTTAATTAAATGAATAAACACGAACAAAGGGTCAGTTTGTTCATCTACATACATGAATGTTCAATAATTCGTTTGTTTATGCTCATTTACATATAGTAATCCATTTATTCATGTTTGTTTACGTTCTTTAATCTATTCGTTTATGTTTGTTCATTTAATTCAATTTATATTTATGTTCTTTTATTTATATCCGTTTAAGATTTTCTGCTTGATTTAAAAAGTTATATTTTGTATTGGTTCGTTTACATTCGTTTATCATTTAAAGAGCAAAAATGAAAGAACACAAACAAGCTACATTCCTTAACAAATGAACACGAACCAAATATTATGTTCATTTAGTTGTTCATGTCAATTCTTTTGTTCGGTTAAAGTTAAAAGAACGAACATGAACATACACTTGTGCATGCTCGTTCAATTTGTATACATGCCTAGGTAAACTGCCTTTCGTCCACTAAACTTAGTCATTGTTGTTAGAACCAAATCATATTAAACATGAAATTTACTAGGATATAATCATACCAAATCATCAAGAATAAATTATTGGATGTGAAAGCATATCTTGATTAATTGATAAGTCGAAATCTTTTGAATCTTTGATGAGAATAAAAGAAAATACAAGATGTTTATTTCGTAGGGACCATAACCTCTTTATATAGCTGATTAAAAAATCAGTTATTGTCTGTGTTTATAACTTTACCTCTCATTAAATTATAAATAAAATTTTAGGGTAAAGTATAGTAATGGTCACTGAACTTTTCTAAAGCTTTCATTTAAGTCCCCGACTTTTAAAACTTGCAATGCAATCCTCCAACATTTAGTCCGTTTGCAATATGGACCTCGACGTTACACTGCCGTTAGTACATTTGCAATATGGTCATTGAACTTTTTAGGCACTTGCATTTAGGTCTCCCAACTTTTAAAACTTGCAACATAATCCTCAATTTATTTCTAAACCCCAAATTCCTTTTTGATCTCAAATTTCCTTTTTCGCTTCTCTTTTATAATTTCCAGCGTAACTTTTCAGTCAGGGATGCATGGGAAATTCTAATCTAAATTTGAATTATGTGGAGATGTTGACTTGAATAAGGGTCCATTGAGAGAAGACCCGACCAAGGGACTATCAGAACCATCAACTATTCAAGGTATAATGTTAGATACAGGTCATATCAGGTGAAGCATAGATGTTTGATGAAATGCTTGTGAGAAAAAAATGGGGTTAGAAATGTAGAGTTGACAAATACTACTAAGATGAACTAAGTATCATTATTGAAAGTCACCAACAAAGCTGGAATTATTTTGTATAAATGGAATATAATAATTTCTTCGTTTAATCCTTGTGGTTAAAGATTTTCCAACAGATGATCAAATATAATAAAATCCCAAACAACGTATTCACCTCTCAGTCTCTTTCACAACTCGAAAGACATTATGACAGGGTCAAGTAGCTACTCCAAATATACTACCTAGTCATGATGTCTTTCGAGTTACGTGCATGCAGAATTGTCTTCTAAAGCTATAATTCAATATAATTCAACTGTAAAATTTTTAAAACATGTAACAAAATCCAATTTGTTCATGATATATCAGTCTCATAATCAACATGAACTTATTAAAAAGAATACGACTCACAGGACGCCGAAAACCACAGGTCAAATCAATACAATTCCCAATAAACTAGTACCAGCAGTCTCTCAGATTTAGCCTAGCGATTTCACTATGTCGATACTCACAACCAATTCCCTGATTTAAAGAAAAACCAAACAAGAAGATAAAAAAAATTTAGCCTAGGACCCTCTTTCACTTCTATTCTGATATATTGAATATATTTCATAAGGAGTACTAAAAGTTTTGATTAAGAAGAAAGAAAGAAAATTAGATGGTTTTGATTCAAAACTAACACTGAATATCCAGATCATTGACATGCAGTTCCAGAAACATAAAAATTTTAACAAAAAACACAAAATGTGACCTGAAAATGGGAAAGTGCGAAAGAGTAAAAGCTTACTTTCGGATAGCCCAAAAGAGAAAATAAATACGTTCTTGCAAGTGAGGGGGAGAGGCTAAGAAATAAATGCAATCGGTGTTGCGTTCCAGCAATTCTTCTTCCATTTTTTCTTTGTAAATAAAAAGCTGAAAGACAGAGCACTACTTGGGTTTACAATTTTACATGGCGGAAAATTGAAGAACAAAAACCAAATGAGAGTGCATGTGAGCGAAAGAGGCTGAGAGGTGAATGTGTTGTTTGGGATTTTATTATATTTGATCATCTGTTGGAAAATCTTTAACCACAAGGATTAAACGAAGAAATTATTATATGCCATTTATACAAAATAATTCCAGCTTTGTTGATGACTTTCAACAATGATACTTAGTTCATCTTAGTAGTATTTGTCAACTCTGCATTTCTATCCCCATTTTTTTCTCACAAGCATTTCATCGAACATCTATACTTCACCTGAGATGACTTGTATCTAACATTACACCTTAAATCGTTGATGGTCCCGATAGTCCCTTAGTCGGGTCTTCTTTCAATGGACCCTTATTCAAGTCAACACCTCCACATAATTCAAAGTTAGATTAGAATTTCCCATACATCCCTGACTGAAAAGTTATGCTGGAAATGAGAAGAGAGAAGCGTAAAAGGAAATTCGAGATCGAAAAGGAATTTGGGGTTTAGAATGAAATTGAGAAATATGTTGCAAGTTTTAAAAGTTGAGGGACCTAAATACAAGTGTCTGAAAAGTTCAGTGCCATATTGCAAATGTACTAACGACAGTATAACGTCGGGGACCATATTGCAAATGTACTAAATGTTAGAGGATTGTATTGCAAGTTTTAAAAGTTGAGGGACCTAAATGAAAGCTTTAGAAAAATTCAGTGAGCATTACTATAATTTACCCATAATTTTAATAATATCTACATTTTTATTCTTATGATATTTGTAATACCTTATGACTTATAATCATAATTGACCACTTAATTTTATGTCATATTTTATGATAATAATAAACATTAAAATATACTTATGATTATGAATTTTAAATCCAACAAGTGTTTTTATTTTGTTTCTTAATATAAATTTCATTACTAAATTTTGATTTTTCACTTATTTTAGTCATTCATGCGTTAAGTGTCTAACTTTATCAACAAATATTGTGTTTTAAGATTTTTTATTACTTAAAATTTAAAAACAAAATTAACATGTTTTCTCTCATGTTTGAAATCTTTTTTCACAATCGTCCTTTCCTCGTTGATAATCGTTTTCCATGCTCACAATTCGATTTTATTAAAACTAATAAAACTTTGATGAAAGTTTTGACCTTGATTTAATATGTAAGATCAATATAGAATCAAGATATATTACCTTTTTTTTTCATTCTTGATCTTTTAGTCGTTTATGTTTGGAAGAAAATATTTTGATGATGATAAATCAAAAGGGGTAGAATGAAAAATATATTCGGTTCAGGTTAGGTTTTTTAGAAAATACATTTGGGTTGGATTAGGATTTAGGGTGAAAAATACCTAACTCGATCCGTTCCGAGCCGAAAAAAATAAAAAAAAATTACATTATATATTTAGGGATAATTAAAATAATAACCATCTATATTTTTTTCCAATTAGATCTTATTTTCTTGAGTAAAAATAATATTTTTTTATAAATACATTTATTTCGGATTGAGCTCGAGTTTTATCTCAAAAAATCGGGTCAGATTCGGGTTGGGATAAAGTCATCCTTAAACTCGGGTTGATATGGAATGTATATATTTTTGGTTGGGTCGGGTTGACCAAAAAGACCTCACCCATGCCCATCCCTAGGTATAATCATGATTTTAATCCCTTAATTTCAGTTCATATAATTTAGTCCCTAAACGTTTAAAATACAATTAATAAGTAAATCTTGATACACACTTTTTATTTGTTGTTAAAAACGTGATTTAATAAGTAAATCTTGATACACACTTTTTATTTGTTGTTAAAAACGTGATTTTAAGAAAACTACAAAAAACGTTTTATAGCCTTACTAAATAATAACTGTGAGATACACTTAAACTTCATCCATCATCATTATAGAACTTTAAAGATAAAGAGGATAAATTTTCTTCTCTTTCCTTGATAAAAGAAACCTTTTTGTTTCTCTTTTCTCGTTAGATTTCTGGGCCTGAACTATTTCTTTCGATATCAAACTCACTCTCAAAAGGCCTGACATGCCCAATTGACCAACGAATCTTGGCCGTTGAAAAAGCCATATGAAATGGCACATTTATTTTATGATATGGATGCTTTGGCCGCCGACTTGTAGGTTGAAGGAATCCTATCCACCCAAGTCGACAATAATTAAAACAGAAGTTTACTTTAAAATAATAAGTATTCAGTAATTACTATTGAGAAATAATTATAAGATATTTATATTATGTAGATATAACAGTAAATGCGTATGGCAAACTACTTGGAATGTTTTGACAACATCATAAATTGATTTCTCAGAACCTAAATCCTAGATAATAGAAATGAGTTCAGGTGAGACACTCATCTGCTTTAAATATGTCACTGATGAACTCCTGGAAGCGAGACGAATATGCTTTCGGATGTACGGCCGCGATCATCCTCCGGTCGAACTGCAACGACTTGTAAGCATGCTCGATCCGCTTGATCACGCTGTAGTTTTGGAAGAAATCCACTACCCCGAAACACAGAAGAACATCATAGCACTCTATCACCGTGACATTTCGACATGGTAATGCACTTCCCGATCTAGCATCTAATGAATATCAGATTCATACGCCATCGTCGAAACCGATCTTTACCTATTGTTTTCGAGCCACTGACCGCCGAAACTCTCTTCCGAGGCTTCACAATTTGGACAAGAGTCACCTTGATATGAAGCGAGGAATGATCTTACCTATTGTTTCGAGCCACTGACCGCCGAAACTCTCTTCCGTTCACAATTTGGACAAGAGTCACATATGAAGCGAGGAATGGTCTTCGTGAGGCCAAATCACTTTGATGCAACTCGACATCGAAAACTCTCATTCCATTGTTAGAGCATCTGCTGTCAGCACAACCTGCAGAAAGACAATTAAAGGAACATACGGTTTGTGTTTCAAAGAATGTCATGTCTTTTGCTGTGAAAGTTCGTGAGAAAATTCACCTTTTGGAGATTCCTTTACGTGCAATCCAAGCATTAGACTGTAATCCATGATGCCTGTGGCCTCCAAGAAAGCACAATCATGTTGGATTTGCCTAACGAAATAAAATAGCATCGTTAATCGATAAAGAAATCAGTCCCCCCCCCCCCGGGAGATAGTGTTACAACTTGTCATAAGACTTACTTCAAAAGCCTTTGTCGGACCAGCGGTTTGATGTAAAAGATAAAATCAAGATCAGACTCTTTATGCAGAATTTTATCTCGGTACCGCATTTTCTCGAGTTTTCGACCTTGTAACGAGCCTTTAAGGTCGTAACACCGATGCATATACAAATCAGACTTAAATATGTTGGCCACGACCACAAAATAAGCCTTTGTGCCTCCGAATGGTGTCACCGCATGGACTCCGTACAGTTTGTTCAATACCGTGTTACGGAACCTTTTAAGATGGCTATAATAGCCCGGAAGCATTTCCAAGAGTATCTGCACATGATGTACAACTTAGGGAACATGGTGTAATATGCTGCTATAAGCTGCTCGAATTTTGTAACCGGTTTTCATTACCTTGACCTCGGATTTCCTTAGAGTTTTAATGGCAAACCCGGTGTCGTTGGAGAAGAGGAACATGTTTCCAGGTCTCGACGTGGAAGTGACCTTCCGAATGGTTTCGTCACTGCAGACTAATATCATGTAGTCGTCTTTGTCGATGTTATCAAGCTCTTGTATAAGTCTAGAACAAACGAAAGCTCAGGTATGGGTATATCGACCCGGTTGATTAAACTTAAAGACAATACGGAACAGAATGGATGGTTAAAAAACAAAACCTGAAAGCTCTCGGACAGTAATCTTTCCATTCAAAGCCGGTGACGGCTCCGGGCGGGAGATTATTGCAGTGTTTTCTGGAAGGCCATTCAATCCAATTATTTTGTGCATTTGTTAAGTCCGCCGCAGAAAGCTCATCGTCGGAAAGCGCCATGTACTCCGAATTCCACTCTGCAAAATTTCTCATTACATTATAAAGGAAATGAAAATCTCAAATCATGATTTGCTATGAATTTTTATTGGTTGAACAGATGAATTGGATTTTACCTTTGTAAGAGAGAATCTCAGATTTCTTTGGAGATCTAAGAATTTTTTATGTATACAAAAATAGCAGAGGAACAATTTGTGTCGAATTACAAAAACTATAATCTGTTTTGGAATTTCCATAATTGTGTTGATTAACAAAATGGAAGGGGATTGGCCGTTGGAGAGGAAAAAACCCGTCCAGATTTCGCGCCAAACAAGTAACCGTCACTTAATCTACCCAAAAAAAAAAAAAAATTAAGTTCGTGATAAATAATTATTGTTGAAAAAGATATACAAGTATGAGGGGGGGGAAAAGGGTAATGAATGTATCCAACATTTATTGATAAGGGTATTCGAGTTTTAACGGTGGTAAAAATTTTCACATCATCTTTTTCGAATCATAGATAGCAATATAAAGGTCCCATTGGTAAAAAATTTGCAGGAACTTGTTTAGACTTCACAATTGACATAGTGTAGTTGTGAGATGTCCGGTTCACAGAGATTGATAGTAGAAGCGAGTCGCATGAATATGATGAAGCAACGAACCGATTGGGCGGGGCAGGGCAGTTCGATGAAGGATGTCATAGGCATAATCGGCCGGTTTATCCGAACTCGTGAACATGAAATACCATCATTGGAACCTTTTAGAAACTCGTACGTATTCCAACGTAAGATTAAACAATTTATTATTATTATTCCGTCTTGTTTGAATTCAATCAAAAGAAGAAAACAATCATGTTAAATTGAAAATCTTTAGAAATACAAAAACTTTCAAATTCTGGTATTTAATATACAAAGCGATGATCAGCTCATAAGGAACACGGCCAAAAACACAGTGAAAACGAATCTTCCTCACCCCAATCTTATCAAGCGAACCTTGACTCCTCATTCATGGCTTCCCTTCGTTAAAGCTCGTAGGACTCTAAATGAAGGGGCTGAGACAACCAGTCTTCGATGACCCCAATCCGCAAAGCAACCTTCCATCTTCTGATGAAGCCTTCAGGTGCTTCGCTTTCTCCACTTCCCGAACTAATCCATTCCACTCCCTCAGCGCCGTCGATGATGAAGTCGTCTTGGAACGCCCATCCTCCGATTGATCATCACATTCGCGCCACAATTTCTCGCCGGGGAGTGTAGACTTTGACTTCTTCATGCCACGGAGTTTCCTCGAATTTTTGCTCTCCCGGATCAGGTCACGGAAACCGATGGCGGACACGCCGGCCATGTCGGGGACATCGGCCGTGTCAAGAACAGTAATCCCAATGTTGAGAACACCTTGGAACCTACCAGAAGTTCGGCGAACTTGATTTGCAATGAAAGAAGGGGGATGGTGCATCATCACAAATTGTCGAAGACAGCGGAACTGGAGCGAAGCGAGTTACCGACGAGCAACCTAACGGTTCCTAGTGAGGAATCACGGAGGACGCCGACCGCAAAGATTTCGACGGAAACGCCTGATGTGTCTCTAGAAAGGAAATCGGAGCAGACTGTGAAGAGGAATTTGTTGTTCCAAGTAGGGTTTCCACCGCCGACACGTTCCACGCAAGTACGGAGCTTGTGAGAGGGATCGATCTATGCAAGGGCGTAGGATTGCATGCGGCGGAGTTGACCGGATGGTTCTTTAAGTCCTTGTGCGGAGATTAAAGTTATTTCCAACACGAAACGATGATCTTTCTCCATTTACCCAGTTCCCCCCACACACCGGCCCCTTGGATAGTTCTCTTTCTCGATCTTTTTCTTGTTTTCTTTTGGTTTCTCGAGCTTTAGAGTTTCATCAAGAAAGAAAAGAAATGGGGTTTTCCCGATAAAGGGCCATCGAAGGGAAAAGTGTAATGCCGGCTTGAAAAACCGCACACCAAAATGGGAAGAAATAGGGAGAGAGCTCAGCTGAGGGGGAAGACGAGAGAGTTAGTTATTTTTTTAATTTGACATAATATTATCTCTTATTTTTATATTATTATTATTATTATTTATTAATCCAATTTTCAAAGATAATTAACTATCGATGCAATATATCATTACTATATTCTGAAAAAATATATATTTATTATGGACTAAAACAAAACATATTCATTTGATATCGAATATAATTTATATTTTTTAAAAATTTAACATTAAACTTTTTAAAGAAAATATTAAATCACATCAAACTCATTAATAATTATTTAAAAGTAGGAATACTAAATTATATCTAATTAAAGTATAAGGATTAAATCTTAATTTTTATCATAATAGGGATCAATATAAGAATTTAACTACTTAAAAATAACCAAGAGGGAAAACACAAAGCAGCTTACATTAGGTTTCACCATCTTCTTCTTCACAGACGACATGGTACCTTAAAAAGATGGGTTTAAAATTTTAATATTTTTTCTTAAAAAATAAGTATATAGATTTACTTATTTTTTTCTCCTCTCCACACTAAACTAAATTTAATGGAGTAGTTTTTTTTTAAATAATGGTATTAAGTTACTCTCCTCTAAGATTTAATACATCCCCCCCTTCTCTGTTGAGAAAATTTTGGTATATAGTGCGTATCATTGTTAGGTAAATATTGAGCAGGAGCCTGAAATTGGTATTTGTTTAAGAATTGTATGGTCTTGTACAGTATTAGCTCGGGGTAAATAGACTATCTTGCTGGTCAAGATGAAGTGAAATGAACATAATTTTTGTAATAAAACAGTAAATAATAGTACTAAAGTTATGAATGTGGTAAAGATGGAGTGAAATCTACTTATTAACTGGCAATGTCGTACCGTGAAGGGAGTTTTGTCAATGTTTAAAATCGACGTAGTTATATTGAATGAGCAGAAAAAGAGCAAGGCAAGAAGGCATCAGTTTGTGTGTAAATGGTAAATTTACAGCCATCAGTAGTTGTTGGGACATTGATCTATCAACCACCAATTCAATGCTGTCAAGTCAAGCTCTCATCTACCATATTAATCCAGTTCTTCTTACTGCACTCACCTTAACTGCTCTGCGCTTCACTTGTTAAGTTGTTCTCATTTTGTTTTGAGTCATTGGGTTCTCTTTTTCTTCTTTACGTTTATGAGATTTTGGGGTTCCATAATTTGATTCCCGAAATTTATAAGATGGTGGTTCCCGCCATGACATTCGACGAGTTTTCCTTGGAGCATAGCAAGAGCTTCGTTAAAGCTCTGCAGGTTTCATTTTTCATTACAAGTTTCAAGCTTTTGGAATCATTATGTTCATATTTGATAGAAATCATGATTTGGTGAATAGGGTAATATTATGTTCTGTAATATCTTGGAAATATCATATTAGAAGGAAATCGGAAAGTGCATGCATCTTGTTTGAAAGTTGGCCATGAAGAAATTTTGTTCAAAACTTTCTAGCATTTGGCCATTTCCTTTTGCAGGAACTCAAGAACTTGAGGCCTCAGCTTTATTCAGCTGCAGAATACTGTGAGAAGTCATATCTCCATAGTGAAAAGAAGCAGATGTAAGAATGAACTTAAAAAATCGTTGCTTGCTTCTTTAATATTGCTTGTGTGATAGCCTTTAATGCTAGCAGTACCGCGAGCCTCTCTAATTGTGCTTGAAATACTTGTTAGGGTACTGGACAACCTGAAAGAGTATGCTGTACAGGCTCTTGTTAATGCTGTTGATCACCTAGGTACCGTGGCTTACAAGTTAACTGACCTTCTTGAGCAGCAAACGTGGGAAGTGTCAACCATGGAGCTAAAAGCATCTTGTTTGAATCAGGTTAATCTCTCTCCAATTCCATGGTTCAATATAATAGTACAACAACGATGTTGAATGGGAAGGTCTTTAACTCGTTTAGTTTTGTCATATTAGCAACTTCTTACGTGCCAAACATACACGAGTAAACAAGGTCTCAAGCAGCAGCAGTTGCTGGCGTTTATCCCAAGACACCATAAGCACTACATTTTACCGAGTAAGCGATTAAAGCTAATTGTGGGTTGAAATTTTATTATGTTTTCTCATTTTCTTCCAATTTTGATTCCATAAACCAGATTCGGTTCATTTTAGTCCACATGTGCACATGGATTATAGGCAAAACTATTCCCAGGCGTCTCTTCTTCAACCTTCAGGTATGATGCTACAACGCTAGCTGCATTGCTTTTATTATACTTGGACTCAATGGAAGGAGGTGAATAACATGATACTTATTATATGTGGCATGTAGATAGTACAGAACCAAAACCTTTTTCGTGGTACTTGGCGTCGGGAACCAAGCCTAATTTGAAAGGGACTTCAGAAACTTTGGCAAGGTTAGTCCGAAACCATTTGACGTTGTTCGGATAATTAATTGTATTTTCGTTTCAATGCAGTTCTTCTAGTGTTGTGCTGAGAGCTAGAAGTTATTGACATAGCTTTTACCATTGCAGCAACGAAATCTCAAAACCTTTGGGCCATGGTTCTGAAGTTTTCCAGCTATTTGGTATGCTTATTACAACCATACCTCGCATATTGTTGTATGCATAAAAGGGATGACAAGACTCGTATTTCAACTGTAATTCTTACAGACAATGGATATGATACGAGGACAAAGTCTTCGGCATCTCCTTTCCCTGCTTCTACTGCACTGGTTCCGACGTTGCGTATCATGCACAGGGTAAAGTTCAAATAGACGAGCACATACATGCTTGACACCCTGATACTTAATCTCTGTTTCATTTCAATGCTGATTAAAAGCCCTGTTTTTTTGTAGGAATCGGAGGGATCCAAACCGATGACGGCAATTGGGTCATTTGATAACCAAAAGCGTCCGATTATTCGTGCACCTGTTAAGAACAAAAGTTTGCTCTCAGCTTTCTTTGTCAAACAGAAAGCAATGAAGATCAAAGCTGGACATGTTGCATGAATCTCCGTTAGAGCAACCTGCCGCCATGTAAATCACTCGTTATTGCAGATGTAACTGCATGTGTTTTCTTCCCTCTCTCTGCGTTTCATTTAGTATAGTTTAGTAAGCAATGTGTATAAAATAGTCAATAATAAAGATGAGTTGCATTTTCCGCTCTCATGAATAATTGTATAGTTTGATCATTATTTTCAAGTTGAATGCTCATTCTTCATTTTACTTAGAAATTTCATAGTTTCTACAACAATATCCATATCAGCTAAGAACTAAGTTAATCCTCAGCCATGAGTATTAACAGCTTCCCACAAGAAGTTCTTCGGAACAGGGTTGGTCAGGTCCCTAGCTTCCATGGCAGCAGTCCTTAGTGTCCTGACGGTCGATCGATTCGCTTCGCAGAAAGAAAGACTCTTGTAAGGCAAATTGTGTTTAATGCAAAGATCCCTCACCAATGGTGAAATCTTCCTCAGTTGTCAACGAAGACAACCTCGGGAACAAATGGTGCTCTAACTGGAACTGCAATCCACCAAAGAACCAATCCATCCATGGAGAGCATTCAATATCCAATGTCCCATATGTTTGCTTCTCGAACCAATCGTTTCCGTTAGGTGGCCCGACGTATACGTTTGCAGAGAAATGTTTCAGACAGAACTGACAATGTTGAATCGATGTAACAGCAAAGTCCGTAAGAACAAAAATGAACCTTTCGGGCTAGTCTGGTAGACGTGAGACCAGGAGAGGGAACCAAGTCCAAAACACAAGTATTCACATTATGTTCAATGATCTGTCTGGAACTTTCCGATTTGAAAACAGTAGCAACAACGTTTGTACGTACAAATTGACCCTTGCCACACACATGAATGGATAAAACGTCCAATGCTGATGAGAAGCCTTGCGAAACGATCGAAATTCAACTTCCGTCCATAAAACAAAGACGTTATCGAATCGAATAAATGCGAAGATACGGTGAAAACCAGGATGTGTTGGAGATCGGGGTCGTAATCCAGGCTGTTGCAGGCAATATGGTGAGCATTATGAGTCCATTTCCACCAAGCAATACTGATTCCCGTTAAGCAATTCCCGGCTACAAGCTGAACCAGCTTGTTGTAACCACGGCCAACCATTACCTAGTAATGGCCTGAATCGTGACCGACGTAGGCGCTTTGCATCCAAAGCATGCCCAATAGCAAGGCCGAACCCAGATGAGCCCACAAGCTAATGCAACTCAAACACCGTGAAGAACAACGAGAAACATGATGGCTACTGATGTCAATGAACAAAGGGCCGTATGTCCTTTCGTTTCGAACAAACCGGATTTGGAAAACTCATGAACCATCCTTCTGTAATCCTTGGATACTTGTGAGACTTTGAAATCTTTGAGATCATAACCGGTGAAGAACCTGGGAAGATATTTGTCGTAACCAGTTTTTGTCCGGGCACAAAATTTTACTTGGCGGGAAAAATAATGTGGATAAAAATGATTTTGATTTAAAATACATGTTCTTGGGAGTCGTCATTGACATTTTGAGGTTAGGTAGATCAAATACCTAAAAAAATAATATTTTAAAATAGTTTTGAATAAAACATAATTTAAAAGATAAAATTGATCTGCGTATAACCAAAATTTTAGTAAAACAGAAGTCGTGGTCGATTACGTTTAGAGAAGATTAGCACCCCTATAACGCCCAAAATTTGGTACTCATTAATTATAAATTATTTCTATTATTAGAATTTTAATTATTCAAAAATATATTTAATCTATAATTGTCATTTCAAATTTATTAGTATAATTTTAAGAAAATCTATTAATTTTTATTTAAATAAGATATTTATTTATTTAGAAATGTCAGAAAAGGACTTCTAGGTACTTTAAGACAGCTCTTTTCTTCTATATAAAAAATAAATATTGATCAAATATTTCTTTAAAAATTAATATATATTTTATAGGATAAAGAATATCAGAAAACGGACTTCTAGGTGCTTTAAGACAGTCTTTTTCTTTAATATTATTAAAATAAGATTATTATTATTATATTATTTTTTTATAAAAATAACTTATAAAAAAATAAATAAATATTATTATATATATATTATAATGATAATAATAATAATATATTGCAAATAAACATATAAAATTAAATCAACAACTAAAATAAATGAAATTAAAACTATATAATAAAAACTAATAATTTTAAAGCTAATGACTAAATTGGAATATATTAAAAATAAATATCTAATTCGTAATTAACTTATTAAAATTTCAGTGTCTAATCATGCTATTTTACATATTTATTAATTTAGTGACTAAATTAAAATTATATTAAATTCGAATATTAAATTAAAACAAATTAAAACATGCTGGTCGGGACTAAAATATTATTTAACAAAATTATAATGGTTATTTCGGTTATTTTACCTAAAATATATATAAGTAAATCAGTGGCTAAATTATAATGAATAAAAATTAATAGACCAAATTAAAATATATATAAAAACATGCTATAAGGATCAAATTGCAAGTTTTCAAGGTTATAGTGGCTGCGGGAATAGTTTAGCCATGCACGAAATTACACGAAGGCCCTCACCAAAACTACATCGTTTTGGTGAGGGTATTTATACCCCATTATAACCGGCCCTTCGGGCCAATTCCTCATTTCTCTCTTTTCTCTTCTCTCTCTAAACTGAGAGAGTTTTAAACTCTCTCGCTTCTCTCTAAAACTGAGAGAGAGAGCACCGACCGGCAGCCTTGTACCGCCGCCAACCTTATTGCCGGCTACCGCATCCGGTGGTCGAAAAATTTTATTTTACACCAAAATATAGATCGAACCGTCCTAGTGACGGTTCCGGTGTCCTTTTCCCTTAAATGGCTCCCGATCGGAGCAAATCCAGGAAAATACCTTCGGTTTTCGAAGGTTTTTGGTGACGCGTGGAGGCTCGTATGAACTCCGGTAATGGCGTGGCTTCCTCGGTAAGTATCTCTCCGTCTTTTCCTGGTTATTTTGGTGTTTTAGTGGTTGCTGGGTTACTTGTTTTCCTCTCGTTTTTCTTTGTAGGTTCGGTTGATGGCTTTATAGCCATCACCGGCGCTCATCTCGGACCGGATAATAGAGTGGCAGTTTGGTGAGTTACCAAACTTTAGTGGTGACTCACAGTGGCCTTTAACGTGGACGGCTAGTTTTGAATCTTCTGGAGGCTCTCGGTTGGCGTCGTGGCAGTATATGAAGCGGTGTGGAGCGGCATAGATCGGCGGCAACAGAGGCGGCCGCCGCGTGTCCCTAGGGTATCATAACCCTAGGGTTTCAGCTGGAGGCTTCTGGACCGTTGGATCTTATCAGATCCAACGGTGGATGATTGCTGGTGGTTAGAGCTGAGATTAAACCCTAATTAGTTTACGGTTTCCATTAGGCTGGCTCAGTTGGGCCAGAACTCGGCTCCGGGTATTGGGTCTGGAATATTGGGTACTGTTGTAATTGGGCTCCGGGTATTGGGCCTGTAATATGTAATAATAATATTTATTAATAAAAATATAATAACAGTAATAATTATAATAATTATAACAATTATAATAATTATAATAATAATAAAAATAAAACAGGCAAAAAATTAATGTCTACAGCTGCCCCTCTTTGTACATTCTTGTATTAACAAGAATAGGGAAAAGACGAAAAGACAATAAATTTTTGTTCAGTTGACTTCTCTTGATTAAGATGGAAATGTTGAACAAGTTCTTCTCATTATGAATTATTCCACTGGGGATGTCAATTCATCTCCTTCTGTGATGTACTCTAGCAAAAAGTTTGAACAAGTTCTGCTCCTTCTTATTTAGATGAGTTCTTCTCATTATAAACACTTCTGAAAATGTTGATGCTAATCTATCTCCTTCTGAGATAGATCATACAAAAGGTTGAATAAGTTCTTCTCATTATGAACTTCTTCTTCTTCTTTAGATGAGTTCTTCTCATTATAAACTTTCTCTAGAAAAGTTGATGTTGATCTATCTCCTTCTGTGATAAAGTCATGCAAAAGGTTGAACAAGCTCTTCTCATTATGAACTTCTTCTTCCTTCTTCAGATGAGTTCTTCTTATTATGAACTTTTTCTGGAAAAGTTGATGCTGATCTATCTCCTTATGTGATAGAGTTATGCAAAAGGTTGAACAAGCTCTTCTCATTATGAACTTCTTCTTCATTCTTCAGATGAGTTTTTTTTATTATGAACTTTTTCTGGAAAAGTTGATGTTAATCTATCTCCTTCTGTGATAGAGGCATGCAAAAGGTTGAACAAGCTCTTCTCATTATGATTCCTTCTTCAGATGAGTTCTTCTTATTATGAACTTTTTATGGAAAAGTTGATGCTGATCTATCTCCTTCTGTGATAGAGTTATGCAAAAGGTTGAACAAGCTCTTCTCATTATGAACTTCTTCTTCCTTCTTCAGATGAGTTCTTCTCATTATGAACTCTTCCGGAAATGTTGATCCATCGAATGATGGATTCAAATCTTTGCTAAAATCTTTGAATTTCCTATCAAATATTTAACATGGGTAAAATGAATGAAAATGCACCTATTTTGCAAATGTCTAAATATGATGCATGAATGTTAATTTCATCTTTATTTAATTTCAAAAAGGTGAACTTAGTCTTTCTTCAATTGTGTAGAAATCCAATAAATATTTCCTCTTCGAACGGAGAATCTATCATCTTTGAAGAGTGTAGATGTAGATATGCCTAATTTTTGTATAATGTCACAAAACCCCTTGAATCCAATGTTTGGTTTTGGAATTCCTACCGAACCAGATCAGATAACTCAAAGAACACTTCCAGAAGATGCTATTGGGCCTCCTTATTTCTACTATGATAACGTGGTATTTGCTCCAGTTGTATTTGGGCTGAAATGTCACGGTACTTATACAAATGTAGAGACAGAATTTGTAGATGCGAAGTATTTTTGTATTGCTGCATGGAAAAGGGGCTATATTCATAATCTGCCAATTGAGAACAGATTTTCTCTTGTTCCGCTTCCAAATGACTCTATGATGGATATAACTTGTTTGCTTTTCAACAGTGATTGCAAATGTCGATAAGACTTACTTTAGATTCCATGCACTTAAAAGTATTAACATGAAGTAATAGCCAGAAATATTTTGTTTGTTTTTAAGATTATATTAATCTATTTACAGGATGTTTATATGAAAC